CAGGCCAAGTGTGATGGCGCACACACACCTTTAATCTCAGCACTCAGATCTCTGTTCACAGCCACATGTGTTATTATTATTGCTGCTTTTTTCCCCAGGATAGTCCCCATTGCTGCTTTCCTGTTACGTCATCTCATTACACTTTCAATTTCCTACCTATCTTGAGTTCTATTTTTCTCATGATCCCCTTCTTAGTTTCAACTCATACAAATACAAACATGCACACGCATACAGACACACAGACACACAGTCACTATTTCAGAACTATGTCTGAAGATCAATTCTGAAAATGTGAGACTTCTCTCTGGAGGTGTGCTGGTTAGTTTTCTTTCAACATGGCACAAGCTAGAGTCCTCTGGGAAGAAGAAACATCAACTGAGGAATTGCCCCCACCATATTGGCCTGTGGGCATGTCTGTGGGGCATTTTCTTGGTTAGTAATTGTTTTTGGAGCTATTCTACAGCTCCTTGGGAACCTGGCTTTCCTTTCTTTAGTTGACTAGCTCTCTTTTCCTGTGTCTCTCCAGGGCCATCACCCCAGCCTTCCATCTGGGCATTTCCAGGAGCTGTGATTTCCACAGGCAGTGCTGTGACCATCTTCTGCAGGACTCCTCCAGGAGTGATCAGAATGCGTCTAATCCATTATGTACCAGATGCAAAGTGGTTTGATCGTACCCCACAGGGAGCCCAGGAGGTGTTTGAATTCAGTCTGCAGAATATGATACACAGAAATGCTGGTATTTATTACTGTGAACACTCCAATTTAGGCGAATCGCCACAAATTAGTGACAAACTGGAGCTGGTGGTGACAGGTGAGTAACTGCCCAAGCACACTGTCCTTCAGACTCAGTCTCTGATGCCTACCTCACTGAACCACATTTGCCCCATCCCAGGCCCTGCCCTGTGTCTCTGCTCCCATATATGGATCTCTTCCCTCTCCTCTCATCTCTTTTTTACCCCCCTCCCCTTCTCTCTTCACCTCTCCTGCCCTCCCCCACTACACTCTTTCTCTTCTCTCATTTCATCCTTTCCTTTTCAATTTCCATTTTTCTTGGCAGTTTTTGGAGACAGGTTCTCAAGTATCCCAGTCTGGCCTTGACCTTGCTGTGTATCCAAACAAATCTTGTACTTATGACCCCTCTGCTTCTAGTCTCCTAGTACTGTCATGATAGACCTGGACAATGACACCATTCATATGGTGATGATTATAGACCCCCGGGCATTGTGTATATTAGGCAAGAATTTGACCAACTAAGATTCATCCCCAGACCCTTCCATTTTGATTTGTGACCCTCCCTCTATGCTGACCTTGTTCTAGGTTCCTTTCAGAACAGTACTTATATCTCCTAAAGGATGGAGTTCATGGGCATTGACAGCAGCCTTCTGTATATACATAGACATTCTCTATGGTCCTGGTTCATGGAAAATGATACAAACATGTTTTGTGGTCCCTATAGATTGCCAATTGATGAGAT